TTTCTTCAACTAGAATATTCAAAGTTATATTTTAAAACATATTCAGCATGTCAGCCAATCAAGAATCAACAAGCACCACATCGGGTCACAGTAGTAATCCACATGTTTCTCACCAACCAGGTGAGAAACCAGCGGAATCTTTGAAGCCAGCTGGCGGTGTCAGTACTGAAGGTAATCGTGAATTAACTGGCGGGACAACCCTACATGGTAAAGATTCAACAAAAGGCCACCATCAACAAGGTGAAAAATCAGCGGAGTCGTTGAAGCCAGCTGGCGGTGTTAGTACTGAAGGTAATCGTGAATCAACCGGTGGGGCCGTACATGGGAAAGATTCATCAACAGGTCATCACCAACAAACTGGAGTTCACGGAAGAACAGTTTATACACATGCTGCAGAAGGTGGAAGTCATCATGATGTTAAAGACAATGATCATAAACATGATGATAAGAATAAAAAGTAAACAAATGACCTTCCTTCACCTGTAAGTGAATAATTAGACACTTGTTTTTGGTTTGTTGTATGCATGCTTTTCAAATTTTTTACTATTAAATCCAGCTTTAAGATAACATTAATATGAGAAAGGAATGGTAAACATGTATCAGATGCTAGTCTGAAGCGGAACATAAGCACTAATCAGTATTGAATCTTCTCGATTATGTGAATCATACTCCATCAGTGATATCACCGGACCGATCATTTGAGTAGTATTTAATTGCATTGTCTACTAGACTGAAGTCATCGAGCCATTTGGTGACGCTGTTGCTTGAATGTCAGTATGACTTGCAAATATGATAGCTGTTTCTCGGATACAGGAACGGCGTTCCGACTTTTTTCAACCCTCGTAGTATCGCTGCCCACAATACAGATTTATACACCGATGCAAGTCGAGCAATAGGATATGGCAGACATTTTATAGCGTCGTGGTTTTCTTCACCAGCATTGGAGGAGAGAAAGATAGTATTTCACACGGATAACAGCCGTGTATGAGAAATAATTCATAAAAAGCACTCGAGAGATGCGACCCTGATGTCGTTCGTGAGACGTTTAACTCTATACTCGTGTCAGTATCATTTTTTAGTGTATGCTAAGCATGTTCCAGGTCGTATCATTTCCGATCAGATGCTTGCTCTTCTTTTTTTAAGATGCGTCATTGACTATCTGTTGAAAAATGCTTCTACACCAAAAACAGTTCAAGCGTATGCTCCACGAAATCGAACGTTGGTTCGATTTATGCTGAACTATTATCCGCATGAAACAACTCTGTTTCTCGGACTAGATCAGGATTTACTGTGCGAAGTTATCGCGTGCGGCTTTATTATATTACAACTAAAACCAAGTACCACTAACAGGTATCTCACCGGGATAAAGCGGCAAGTACTTAGTCCCAAATCAATCGGCGGGTTGTCCCGCAGATATCTGTCGATGCACACGTCCATATTTAGCCTTGCCAGCTGTCAGTCTTATGGACTAAGCGGTGAAAATTTGTAAGGGGTTTTAATTTACGCCTGGAAAAAGAAGAAAAGAAGACAAAATACGTCGTACGATCATATTTGAGGGGGCTCAACAGATACGATGAGGAATGTTTTGTCTGAAACGTTAGAGAAGTTCCATGGGAAGAAATACAGTGACTACCGTAATAGAGAAGCCTTATGAATCAAAGTTCAAAAATATCTGATTCCAAGGCGAGTTTTCGGATTTCAAACTGTAGTAGAAGAAT